ATCATACATAGTATTTTTCTGGATTTTTGTTTTAGATTCCATCACTCACAGTTGAAGAGTACCTATGATAAAAATTACAGTCATCTACAAGCTTTGCAAGTGGGAAAACCTGAAATCAACAGTGTATCAAATACTTGATCTCCCCACTGTATTTTTTTCTCAGCTTGGAAATGTTAGGGCCTAGTTCCCTCARATGGTCCTCCACCATGCTAACTTGTTCCTCAGCTTCAGTGATACAGATGTTTAGTCTGTCCAGCATGGTTTTAATTCCAGAAATGGATTGACTTAGTTGTTTTTGAAACAATCTCGTTAGATAGCACCTCGTTACCATTTCTGATTTCCTGAAAAAGAATGTGTAGATCCACACTGCTCATGAGTATCAGAGCTATAGATAATCGTTGACACCTTCGATGTATAAGTTTTGATCTTGATTAGTTTGTTCCTGGATCTCAACTCCATGTTGCAATAATCTGACCAAGTTTTAGATTTATTTACTCTTTAAGTGTTTTTAAGTCTTGTAAAACAGATTTATTCAGAGCCTTTTGGGCACGCATATCTCTAGTTTTGTTGCTTAATGTGACCCCACTAATGGAGATCCTTCAATAAATATATTTTTATTTTCCTTTATTCATTTTTTTGAGTAAACCTTTTTGTTCTTATTTTCTTAAAGTAGGGATTCAGCTTAAGAGTATCACTACTAGCCAAAAAAACAAGTGTGTTGGATTTGCTTAACCAAGTTATATCCACTGAACTAACAGTTGAGTAAATGTAAAGCAAATTTCACAATTTAAATGTATGTAAAAGCTTTACATTTACTCAACTCAATTAAGTGGAAACTGTGGACATAACTTGGTTAAATAAATTCAACAATCGGTTTTTTTTTTTTAGTGTAAAATAGTGGTTCCTCAAAGCCCCTTTCTTACTTCAAAGCCAAGCTGAGCCCCCTCTCCCACCCACCCCTGCCACACAATCCTTTGCTATCCCCACCTCTCCCAAAGAGTACAACCTTTATTTCTTTATCCAGATATTCAAAGAATAAAGTGAAATGTTACAAACCTTTATTTGGAAAAAGGGAAAAAATAAAATACCAAGTTATACAAAGTTATAATTATTCAAATAGACTTGTTTTGGTGATTTTTATATACAAACAATAAATTGATATTTTCACATCCTTGGAGCAGACATGGTTATTAGTACGCAATAAGGGCACGTGATTTCTTACCCAGAATATACCTTCAGCCCTGTTTGAGCAGCCAAAAACTGTACCAAAACTGATTATTACCATCACATTTTAAGTTCTCTCTTTTGTTTTTATCAACAAGATATTTTCTTTCAATAAAGCAGCTGGACTGTGCACAAACAAATTGTGACATAAAAAAGAAGAATTCTGGTCAAATGCAAAGATTTTTACTTACTGGTACTTAACCTTTAGCCTATAACCATCTTTAATGGATTGAATTTGTAAAGTTCAAAAACTGACATGGACCCAGTACTCTAAATACCACAACMCAGCTGAAAGATCTAAAGTTAATATCAAAGAACATTAAGTAGCCTAAAATGTATTTGAACATAGGATAGTGGTACATACCCTAGRTTTGTTTGAATGTATAGTCTCATTCACAACACTTATTTTATATATTAGATAGAAATCTTGTAGAAGAAGTAAAGAAAACAAAACAAAAACATTTTAGTGGTTCAGATGGGGCAGCCAGCATGTCCCAGAGCCTCCTGAGCTCCTTTTAGGGTCTCCCTTTTCACACACTTCCAGAAACCAGAGATGCCACTCTGAGGCTGCACCTGAAATCAGGACATGTTCATCACATCAACACAATAGTGAAGAATTATTTCTTTCTATAGTTAATCATGCTTGTAATTGTTTGTGAGTTTGTACCTGCTAACTGAAGCTACGTTTACATGGACAAGAATAATCGGATTAAAYGGCCGTTCGGAATAAAAATGCGTCATGTAAACAGCCCGTTCGGATTATTCTGATCCKATTGAGCTCGATCCGAATGAATTTTTAATCCAAATGAAAACGGTGGGTTATGCCGATTGATAATCGGAATGACGTTCATGTAAACACTTAATCCGATCATCTTATTCTGATTGTAGAAAACTGACCTGTGCGCATGTCTGCTCACTTTCATTCACCTGGTTAGAGGAGGTGGGACAGCAGCGCTCCAGCTGCGCTGCACAGGGCAGAACTTTTCCTCCTCGCTCTCTTAACAGATGAAAAAGGAGGCAAACAGCAGACGTTGCTTCGCAAAAAATTTAAAAAAAAAAAAAACACGTATTGCTTCATCTGCAGGCTGCAGCTCAACCGAGTAGACGAGTAACGATGTCTGTACMGTTATTAAAAACTGACATGGGTCCATCCTGAGCGCACAGAGGAGCTTTGTTTACGTTTGTAACACGGAAGTAGAGCTGAAAGTTTACAACACTGCGCATGTCCAGACTTYTATTCTGAATAAAAGTCCGGTGCATGTAAACACTTTTCATGATCGGATTGTGTCCAAACAGTACATTCGGATTATTTAATCTGAATACATTTCAATCCGATCAAAAAATTTTGTGCATGTAAACATAGCTTGAGTCAACTCTTCATCACTGGTTGTAGATCAAAAACTGACTCCAATTCACCCAGTTCAAGACGGATGCCACAGATAACCTTAGCAAACACAGAATTGGCCAATATAAAGTCCACTTTAAAGATACTGAGCAAATACTGGATGTGGCTGTAGCCAAGAGTCATCTTCAACATCCCACAACGTATTTGTTTAAACAGGAACCAACAGAATTAGTTTTTTTGTTTTTGCCCTAATTTTATTATTCTGAGTTCTGTGCTTTATAGTGTAACCACATTTTATACCTATAAGTTCTGATCCAACATTGTTTAGATGTTGGGCCAAAATTCCTCCTCAACTACATTATATAAGATACTGATATTCACACAGAAGATGATCATTCTAAACTATTACAACTAAAAACTGGTTCTACAAGATGATGAATTATAGTTGGACTTACAGTAGTTATTTACACTGCATCTTTATTGTGGTTTGTTTTTTCCTATCTAAAACATCATTGCAATAAGTGTTGAATGTGTCAGGTAGTATTTACCTAATATCATATGGTCACAAGAATACATCGTTCTCTTAATGTCTTTATATGTTTGAATAGGTTTTCATGAGTGTCATTGTGAAGTAGGATAAAAGCTCACCTTCAGGCCACGCAGTACTCGGTCAGTCATTACTCCCATGAATTCTCTGTGGCTCAGGCAGTTGTCTCCATCCATGTCAAAAAGTTTAAACACGGTGTCCAGGACGTTTTCTGACAGCTCGTGGCCCGTGGCAATCTTTACAGCTCGCTTGAACTCAGCTGCATTTTAACAAAAGGGAAAGAGAACTCATATACTGTGAATAGTAGAAGAAAAGTGATTGATTCTAACAAATAGAGGTTTTTACCCATTCCCACGGGACGGTTGGCCTCTGTCATCATCYTCATTGAAAAGGCAAAGTCCTCCAGGTTGTTGGTAAATAGGCAAAAGGATTTGAACTCTTCAAATGTGATACTCTAAAAGAGAGATGTTTTTGATTTAGTCCACACAAGAATTGGTTTTGTAAATATATAYCCGTCCCCCCCAATTGTCCTGACAAATATATTTCATTTAGAGCACCGCTAATGACCATCTTCGCTCCTCTGGAAGATTGTTTCCAGCTTTCCGATACCTACTCGCTGGACTAGGCTCTTGAATTTTTTTCGACACGAGAGAGGATTCAAACGTTTCCACCTCTGACAAGTCTGTCAGCAGCTTAGCTTCCCCCTCCCAGGCAGGAGGGCCAGAGTTAGACCTGCCGCAGAGAAATGGATGCTCTGTTGTGCCGGGCATCCAGTTACCTGTGACCACACCCCTCCCATCTATTGTGCTCTTGTCAACGCTCTCACGGACATCATCCAGAAGGTAGCGAATGCCAAGGGCCTCGCTGTACCAGAGCCACTAGCCCGGCTACCTCCAGATGAGTTGGCGGAAAAATTTGACGCTCCGCACACCAGCCACCGAGATCCAGTCTGGCCTCGATTTCTAGCCGCGACAACCTACGTGTCGAAAGCAGCAGCCGATCCGCTGAAGTTGAAGGCTCCTGTGTCCACCTTCACGCCCATCATAAATGCGGTGGGTCTGGTGGACAAGGGTTTTTCCACACGTTTCTTCTCTGGAACGGAGCCCAACCACCCATTTCGGGGTTAGAGCGGCCCGACACGTCATACGATGGCCCATCCCTCCTTCTTCTAACGGCCAACTTGTGGCCAGAATTACCGGTCAAGCACACAAGTGCACCTCTCAGATTACCACTGCCACAAACAACATGGCTCTGCTGGCCTTCAACATCTCCAAGAAGGCAAAGTAGGGAGAATTTCTGCCGGTGGACAAAGAGGAGTTCTGTAATGCACCATTCTAAACTTGTGCACAGTCAGCCCAAGCTGTGTTTTCTGCCCAGATGCTGACCTGGATGACGGTGCTGCAGAGACAGATGTGGCTTCACCTCTCCTCCTCCATCCCTGAGGATATGAAGAAAGAGCGTCTGGAAGGGCCCATCACTCTGGATGGATTGTTCGGTCCCCATTTCCAGTCTCTGCTGGAGCACATGCAGTCCTCAACTGAAGCACTGGAACAGGTCCAGAAACATGTGGCACAGCCATGGTAAGAACAGTGCTCCTTCAACGTTTCTGGTCGCTGGCGAAACCGCAGGGACTAGTGGCAGCAACAGAGACATTTCCACATCTGCAGCAGCTGCCACAGGCCCCTATTGCAGCAGCATCTATTGCCTCTCCCTTTTGATCAGAGCCCCCCATAGGTCACCCAAAAGGGAACTCTTCTACAAGCGACGGCGGTAGGGGCCCCGATTTGGTTCATATTCATGACAACAACAGATCAGAGAATACATGCTCGCCCGCTCTCAGAGCACTGCTCAGAGTGGTGGTGTGTGTGTGCTATGGACGGGTGGATATGGCCTGATCAGAAGAGCAGTACACACTGCAGTTTGAAGCACCAACTCCAAGCTTCATGGAGTCCTGGAGACCATCCTGTCATCTCCACAGCCGACTTTGGCTCTCCTGTCCGAGCTACTGGAATTCCTGATGAAAAACGTCATTTCCAGGGTTCCCAGAAGAGAGGAGAATACAGGTTTTACTCCCGGTACTTCCTTTGACCAAAAAAAAGTCAGGTGGGATGAGACTCATTCTGGACTTGTCCCTTTTCAACAAATCCATCACGAAGAGACCGTTTCACATGMTGACGTTCAGAAAGGTGTTGGAATGTGTTCACCAGAACAACTGGTTCACTTCCATAGATCTGAAAGGACATGTATTTTCACATCCCCATCATCCCCAAAGACAAAATTTCAGCATTTTTCATTCCAAAACAACTGCCTGCCGTTCGAGGTGCTCGCTGGCACCCCGCACATTCTCCAAATGCGTGGAGATGACCCTGCAGCCATTATGCATGGCTAGGATGAGAATCCAGTTYTATCTGGAGAACTGGTTCCTGCTGGCTTGATCCAGAGAGGAGGCAGAAGTGCAAACGATGACATTAGTGACACATATGTCCAAATTGGGCTTCTCCATAAACTGGGCAAAGAGCTCTGTTGTTCCATCCCAGCTAAGTGTTTATCTGGAAGTGGAGTTAAACTGAGCCATCATGAGAGCACAGCTGTCACAGCCAAGGAATGACGGGTCTCCCTTATGATGCACTCAACATTTGGTTGGATCGTGTATGTGTGATTTAGAGCCAAAAGTATGTGAACGGCATGATGTCTAATCAGGCCGCACACACCCCCAAAATGGTACTGTGTTCCTGTAGTGGGGTAGATTAGAATTGCCCATAGCGAATCGGGTGCAGATTTGGCTGAAATATGTGGAATTTAGAGTTAAACATATGTCAACAGCGTGATGTCTATTTAGGCCTTGCTCCTCATAAATTGGACTTAATTTCTGTAGTGGAGTGGATTAAGATTGACCATAGTGTATTGTGTGCACCAACAGAATGTTGGTTATGTACTGTAACCACAAATTCTTTGAGTAGAGGCACAGCCCTTTAACATCTGGGTCTCATTGGCTCCTGTAGTTGAAGGAAAAAGCTATTTTAGGAGTTGAAACTCAGTCAACACAATTTATACAGACTGGACTACRTGAGGGATAAACCCAGTAGCGATGGCCTTAAAGGGCTGCACCTTTACTCATAGAATCTTGGGTTACCATTGACGTGCAGTCACTAGATGAAATATCATGGAAAAAATAAAAAAAAAATTAAAAAACAATATTAAACACGTTAAATTGTCATATTTATACAATGCTTTGTACTATAAACACATTTTCAATTAACTTAATTTTTTTTTAATTGCTGAATTTCCTCATTTCCTGTTCAAATGCATAATGCGATGGACTAGGAGGCAAAATCAAGCTCTCAATTCAATTCAATTCAAATTCAAAAATACTTWATTGATCCCAGAGGGAAATTAGGTGTTGTTGTAACTTATTTAACTAAAGAATTATTGTAGATGCTRATAGCTGCAGGCAGGAAAGATCTTCTGTAGCGGTCTGTATTACAGCGAAGTTGAAGAAGCCTCCGACTGAAGACACTTTGTCTTTCTATGACAGTCTAATGAAGAAGATGGTCAGGGTTGTCCACAATGTTCTTGATTTTATGTAAAATCCTTCTTTGCACCATCATCTCCAGAGTTTCCACAGTCGTCCTCAGAACAGAACCAGCCTTCTTTATCAGGTTGTTTAGCCTTTTTAGGTCCCTGGCTCTGATGCTGCTGCCCCAACAGATGATGGCAGAAGTGATGACACTCTCAACAACAGACTTGTAGAAGATCTGCAGCATCTTACTGCAGACATTGAAGGATCTCAGCTTCCTTAAGAAGTACAGTCTACATGTCTCTCTCCCTCCAGAATACACGATCCTTTTAACCACACACCTCTTCATTTTCATTGCACAATCCCTGCTGCAAGTTATGCAGTGAGAGCAGGGTATGTCTCTATATGTCGCCAGTAAAATGTTTCTGATTTTTCTTAATATACATGATACATACATGATTTTCCACAGTTTCTGATGTTTATTATATAAATATGTATTTGTGTAACGTGTTCTGTGAGCTGAAACGGCTGAGAAAAGATGGTTTTCAGGCTCAGGGAACAGTAGGGGGCGCTAGTGAGCTCAGAGAACACATGAGCTGCAAAAGTAGTAATAAAAAGTCAGTTAGCAAGCAAAGTGCAGTGCTTTTTGTAGCCGTTTTGTAAACTTTCAGTTTGCCAAACCTGACTTTTAGAATGGAGGATTATATATTTTAAAGCTCAAACTATTTTCTAAACTGGACTTGGAAGCAGCAGGTAAATAAGAGCCACACCAGCTGAGACAAAAGCTCTTCTGAAACAGTTGGACACTGTGTGGATGTACTGAGAAACTTTTTTCACCCTGCCATTTCTCAWCTTGTGACAGTATCTGGACTCAGATGGGATATTTTGAGCAGTGCATGGACTTAAGTAAAAGGCAGGGCATATTAACTTTGTTTTAATAAAATGTGCATTAAATGAGCTGCAGTTTGTGTAAAGAACACCGATATGAGATATGAAACAACTCATTAACCATATAGTGAATAAGTTGTTCTGTAGGTTTCATATATTTGTAAATCTGATTCTGATGAACTGAGAGCCTCACCGTCCATGAACCTCACCGCACATCACATAACCAATGTTCTGTGTGGATGGAKATATTTCTTGAAATAGCTCTGTGTTTACAAGAGTAATTGTATCTTTATTTATAAAATAAATAAATAAAAACATACCATGTGGACAAGGCTACAGAAAACCCCTGCCTAACAAAAGATGAAGAGCGTTTGTACCTGACCAGCAGGAATCTTCTTCCTCACGTTTTCCCAGTAAACCTCATTATCTTCCTCGTTGGTGTAGTGCAGCAGCCACTCAGCAAAGTCTTCTCTTCTCATGGTGTCCATGCCTTTGGAGAACTGTAGGAACTCCATTTCTTGGACCTCAGCCTGCAAGTCCTCCATGAACCTAAACAACAAACACCACTTAACCCTGTAAGGCTGACTGTTGCAAAATTACATCATCACTTTTAGCTGTACCAAAAACAATCCTGAAAATCTTTTTTCTCATATTGTTTTCTCATATTTATAAAGTGACTAGGTCTTATTATTCAGCCCTGCAATGCCATTGGATGGTAAATGTGTAAATAGCCCTGACTATCAGGTCATGAAGTCACACAACTTGCAAACTTTTCTGGATGCACATCACCCTCTTTTACTAAAGTTACTATCTCAACACTCAAGTTAAGGCACTGTSACACTATGACATTTTAGACAACTTGTGCCAGCTTATGAAAAGTTTGGAGATATCTATGATGAACGTGGAATAAAAAAAAATCAACTAGAAGCCTCTTTTAGACATGTACATACTGTAATGCTAACAAATTCATACAATATCTAACTTTTATTAGTAATTTAGTGAAATTAGAAATTTCACAAGTTGGCATAAGTTGTCTAAAACATTATAGTGTGACAGGGCCTTAAGTAAAATCACTAAGGTTGGGYGTAATCGTATCGTGTGCACCGTGTGCAACTAATCATCATAAAAACAATCTATTTTTTGGCACTTGATGATTAACACGATTAATGCCACCAGGCAGAGTCCGCTCGGTGCTCCTCTCCGCTTCAAATATGATGAATATTAAAAACAAAAAAGTTATGTAATTTATTTATAAACACAATTTAAAATTTGATGTATAGCCTGAAGTCTGTAAATTTGACACAATTTGGAACAATTTTTTATGAAGAGCAAATCTTTCCCACTAAACTGGTCATGTGACTAGGACATAAGGGTGTCCAGGGACTCCAGGGGATTAATCATCAAATTAATCATTATCGGCTAAAYACCACAATTAATCATGATAAATTTTGACAATATTTTCCAACCCTAAAAATCACTGAAAATTTTTTGTGATTATTAAAATGTCTATAACGTGTACTAATTATTAAATTATTGTTGAATGCATGAACAAACTTAGATTTTTAGCTTGTTGTACCTTTGTTGTAGTTTTACAACGTTGGGTAAAATGGTAGTCAAAATGACAGGTGCACCTTGCACAATCCATATAGCACTTCTCAGATGTTCATATTGTGAAATAAATAACTTCTAGTGTTGATCATTTACAATTTCTAAACGATTTTAATCTGTTTGGAACCGATTTGAGTAATTCTGAAAGAAGATCCGGGAAGGTCCTTCCAGTTTAAGTATTTGAAACTTTGGCTGCATTATTTCTGTAAAAAGACATTTCCAGCTGTTTATCTTGGCTTTGTTTGCTGTATGGGTGTGGAGACAGATGTGAATATGTGAATTCAAGTGGTCTGGGGGTTTGTAAACATTGTTCTGGACTTTGGAAGGCATTGGCATTACAAGGCTAAACAATAAGAACTAATGACATTTGCTCTGAGGAGATTACGTGTACCACCAGTGGAGGCATGCAAAGACATGAATGCATATTTCCCTGCCAATATAAAGAGAGAGGATGCAGGAGACACTGTGATAAAGGCTACACCAATAACCTCAGCAAGAAGTGCAGGGTGCATTTATGCTTTCTGAATGAAAATAACTGCTTTTTGGAGTACCACTGTGGGTAATGGCGCTGTCTCCCACTAATCTGGGTTCCAGCGTGTCCTGGGTCCACACCAAGTTTTAATTCAAGTTAGTTTTAGTTTTTTGTGCCTAATAAATTTAGATTCACAAAATTATGACCACTGTGTGATTATTAATTATATTTACTGTTACAGAGCTTTATAAGCAATCCGCAGTGCAAATCAACACTTAGTTGTTCAGTATATTAGCTTTGACAGCATGATTGAAAATACACAAATTCTGCTCCCATCCAGGCGCCATGTTGCAGTATTGAAATGTTTCTGTAAAAAAAAAAAAAAACTTATGAAAACATAGAACATTAGGTGGCCCTGCACTTTCTGCTTCAGTGGCCTCCTTTAGGAGGTAAAAACAATATTTTTGCTCTTTTTTTCTATTTTTGGGTTTTACATGGTTAAAAGACTAGAGTTTAGTCATGTCAGTTAGGTGTTAAGTGCTTTATTTTTTTTATCATCTAGTATTTGGCATGCACATTTGTCAATATTCCTCAAATTTAGCACATTTCCCCTTGCAAATTTTTCCCAGTCCATCATTTGGTTAGACATTTTATGGGAAAAAAATTTAAAATAAACTTTTTTCTTGTCACTTTCTRTATATTAAAATGTACAATGAACTAAAACTATGGTTCTCTTTTCCAGTGGTGTGTTGACTGTTAATGGAGATACAGCAGCCCTGTTGCCTGACGAGTGAAGCTGCTGCACATTCTGGTAGTTTTTGATACAATTCAATTCAATTCAATTTATTTATATAGCACCACGTCAAAACATGCATTGTCTCAGGGCACTGTACATGAAACATACACTGGATACGTTTAGGTGGAGGAGGTGAAACAGCTTGTAGGAAGTAGGGGTGCACTGATTCCAGTTTTCTTGCAGATCTCCGATCTTTAAAAAGTCTGACCTGCCGATTCCGATTTTGGCCGATACTAACTTTTTTAAATAGCTGCCACTGTCAGATGTTATGAAGTCACAATACAACTTCAACGTTCAAATGTTATTTTACTGAAATACTTTGAACAATACACTTGAAACAATACAAACTTGTTTTAACTGGATATTGCTCTGCTGACAGCAGAACACAAGAGGATAGTGGTTGATTTTCAGACCTTTGTGGACGTAGAAAAGCTGATCTTCTCCACCAGTTTTATTTAATAAATCGTTTGGCCAATTTATCGGTGCACCCGTTGTAGGAAGGGTATGAGATCTTTTACATGATGGTTTTTTTTTGTCTTGCATTTTTCCTGAAAAAGAACTCTAAAGAAGTAAAATGTAAAATAAAAATGTGGTTAAGTCATAAAACACAAACTTATTGAAATAAAATTAATTTTTGTTCAAGTAAAACTCAGCAGGGTCCTGGAGAGGGAGGTCTGGGCCTCCCTTCTGAAGCTGCTGCCCCCGCGACCCGACCCCGGATAGGCGGAAGAAAATGGATGGATGGATGGATAAAACTGAATTAGGAAATAATGCAACTGATTTCATAGGGCCTTACTACACCTGAAAAGAGAAAGTCGTATTAAAAAAAAGTTTCCCTTACCTCTGAAAGTCCTGATAYTGTAATTTATTGTCTCCTTTCTTCCCAAAGAAGTAAGCCTGTAGTGTTGTGTTTACATCCTCTCCTTCATCTGCTGGTTTCTGTAATCATCCATGAAATAAACTGCTACTATAAAAACTCAAACCTCCAACCACAGTGTGATACAAGAGAAAACCTTCACATTTAATCCACAGAACAAGTTGAATACTGACCTCTGCGTCGTCTTTGGGAAGTTTCACTTTACTTTTGCCAATGATTTTCTTAAGCTATGRATTAAAAAAAAGAAGCAAAATTAACTTCTTAAAATGTTTTCTTTCATGAACTGAACCAATAAAATTGGAAGCAATCCTACCAGAAGAGCAAAGATTTAAGTCTGTACTTAAATTTAAGCAGGTTTTTTTAAACATCCCACTCTATTAACTTCATTTTGATTTCTGTTATTGCAGTGGTGGGGGCAATTAAAGCTCTATCCATTTATTTTCACTTGGAGACTTATCTAAATATACAACAGCAATTCTGACAAAGTTGAGATGGGTAAAAGATAAATAAAAACAGAAAGAACTAACTTGTGAATCTCATAAATCTACATTTTATTCGTACCCGAACACATTTTTTTCTAGGGCCATATTCAGGGTTCATGCATGTTTCAGTAAGTTAAGACCTTTTAAGACCAATAGGAATGACATTTAAGACCAAACTGACGCATTAACAGAAACATTCAAATGATCCTAAAAATTTTAACATAGAAACCTTTTATTGCTATCAACTTAGCTATGAA